TGTTTATTAAAAAACTATCGATCCGCAGTACATAAAAAATTCCTATAAAAAAAATTACTACTATGACATTACACTATATTATTGAACTATATACTTGTAAAAATAGAATACGTGGATTTAACACATCACAAGAAATATTTAAATAAAATTCTCACTTAAAAATTTTGAAAAACTTAGCGTTGCGTCTTTGCACGTTCCGAGATCTTACACAACCGTCAATAATAGCAGATATTCAAAAAACATCTTTCGGTCGACATACAGGTATATCGTCTCTAGTTTTTGATTTTATAGGGAAAAAAAACACATGCCTGATGATGGATGGAAGACTGTCCGTAAGTACTAGCATTTTAACATCAAATAAACTGAAAAACTACAGACAACAAGTTTTTCTTCAAGGATCAAAACTCGCACTATGGATGAACAGGATTTTAATGCATATATTATGTTTTCTAGCGATGGATGTCGCCAATAATCGCATTGATACTTCTGATTAATTCTATGTGTGATTATTCTTTGTATATATATATATATATATATATATGTGTGCCATGTGTCCTCGAGGATACATGGCACAGTGGATAAAGGCGTTGGTTAGATCCAGTGACAGACCCAAAGAAGGTGAGTTCAATTCCTGGTTAAGGCAGTGGAGAACTTTCAGAGGGAAAATTAGCAGGAGATAACTGATAACTGACATCCATCAAACATGGCACGTGGAACTAGAACAGTCTACCCCAGCAATCGTAATAAAGGGTTCAGTTCGAAATTCCAACCACCTGAAGAAGGCCGGAGCGTACAACGGCCGAAACGTTGTGACAAATATGGCGACAAAGATGAGGACAATAGTCCGACTAATGTAAATACTGTACATAATACCTCATCTCAGAAATATAGACAGAACTGTATCTCTCCTTGCAAATTGGATCCTTCATGCGTTTTATTTCACCTTTTACCATTTTTGAACCTTCCGTAGGTTTCTCATCGTGAGAAATTTCTTTGACTTATTCACTCTATCCCCGAACACTCCGACCGGAGGCCCAAGCCTGACTGAGAACCCCGGGCAATGCTTTGTGTACTTCTCTATCTTATCAACATTTGCTTTTTTTTCTACCTAGAACTATATTACAAACTAGGCTAATTTACATTGGGGAGACATCACGCGACTGCAGTCTGGGCTTTGCTTTGGTCCTCTTGACTTTCCGTAGTTTTATTCCGATGTAGCACACGATTGGAAGTTGATCACTCCCGCAGTCAGCACTTAGTTATGTTTTACAATGAAGAACTGCGTTTCTGAATTTTATGTCGATAGCTATTTGGTTCTTTTTGTCCTCGCCTGGGCTTCACCATGTCCATAGGGTAATTCCATAATTCTATCCAGGAATTGCAGATCTGAATGTGAATATCCTATGGCTCCCCCCCACCACCACCACCACCACAATAATCAGAAAATTTATCATCGTCATTTTCATTATCAGTCGAAGGGTCACGGAACAGCTCAACACCTGACCAGTTCTCTTCACATATCAAGTTTGAAAGCCTGGGTGGCATTTATCCATGCTTAGCATGTTGTTGTGCAAGTAAACCTGGTGGAGCCCATCCCTCTCTGAGTCAAATCTCAGCCGATCTCCTCTGATTTGAATGCTTGCATTGTTCACGTACACGTGACCCTGGGCGTTGACTTCTGTATAGGAAACAAAAGCGATGCCGTGTCACCACTGCACTGACAGCATATATAAATATGGAACCCAGAGAAAGATGGCCTTTGAGCCTACAAGAAACTACATCCGCCTCTTTCATTGTTTTTAATCCTGCTGGATACCTTATCACCAGAAAAAGCCTGTAAGATGCGTAACGGGTCATGATAGAACATATGCATAAATAGAATGTTTTCTTTCTTCTTTTTTTTTTAATATACAAGTGTGCGGATCTATTACGCACGAACATACATACATACATACATACGAAAGTACAGGGTGACCCCAAAAAAACGGGTATTTTTGAAGTGCGTATTGCCAGACATGAGCAAATGGCAACACTGAGAAACAGTGACCTTGAGCAAGTAAACATTTCGCCATTTAGAATTCAAGATGAAATTCACATTATCCCAGCTGAGATGTTGCAGCAGTCAATGAGGAATCTCAACAGCAGATTTCAAGAATGCATTCGTACAGGAAGACGCCATCTACAGGACGTAATTTTTAAAAAATGAAAATTCTACCATTGTTTCTTAAATAGCATGTTTTAAGATTTCAATTACTATGAATAACATATTTTTCTTCCATCACTCTTGTTTTTATTGAATTGTTAAAAAGTTCCCGTTTTTTTTGGGGGGGGGGGGTCACCCTATACAAATCACATACAATACTAAGCATTCATTGGTTAATAAATCAACACTACATTACTAAAGACAATTTACAAATCGCAATAATGCGACAATTTTGTAATCGCTCTATTTTTAAATAGTCAATTTTGTGCACTTTTGGGAGAATCGGATCACAGAAGCTTTCTTAAGTCTCCCCAAAGCTCGCTCGCTGATTGGTCGATGCCAACCAATCAAATCGTTTGCACGTGAAGAATAATTTTTCCCGCGCAACGATCTGGAGCCTGTTGTCGCTTATTTAAGCCAAAATTTTTCTCATCTTAATTAGTGAGAATTTCAACTACCAAACGAATCCACGACAGATGAAACCATGCGCCAACCTTCTCACTCACACACACCACTCAAATGCTGAATATACCTTGTACGCACTCACATAAACTCCTCTTACATAGCAATGTCTTTCAAGAACAATCATTAGAAGTGACTCTCATGAACATTCTTCCAGTGAACTTTGGAACACTAAAATAACAGTTAAAGAGAGACTACTCTTGGTTAATTCAACCTTTTCTTACTTAAATGCATGCTTTCCTTCACATCGTTGTTTGGTATTGTACGTCTTGTTAAATACTCATTTTATGTGTAACAATGTCTTTTAGTTATCCTTTTTCTGTGTGAAATTTGTTTCCTAATCTAAAGTCAAATTAATGTGGTGAAGTCTGCCACATTTGATTGGTGACCCCCGACGTGATTAGGAAAAGCCCGAGGCGATTAGGAAAACCGTATTTGTTTGGTATTCATTGGTGACTACGCCGTTCTGAGAGGAGTCCATTATTCAAAGAAGGCACCAACATTTCATGGCTACCCCATTTCGAAACACAAAATTTCGCCAGTGAACCTAGTAAAAGAATTATAAGAAACAACCCGAAATCAGCATATCAATATGGCGCGCAAATTCTTTTCGTCACTAGGTGCGAATATTCATGCAAGTCAACATGGCAGTCCCAGACAGTGACGGAGCTGCAACCTTTCCGTCTTCAACACGATAAACGTTCACGTTTGGTTCTAGCAAGTCCGCTACACAGGGACGACTTGAATCGAAATGAATATTTATGACGAAGCTTGAAAGATGGAATTCTTGAAAAGGGACTTCAGAAATGTGAATGATTAAAGGAATGTTCGCCAGAAATAATGGACAAATATTTCGAAAGAATGTTGAAGAAATGTTTATGAAAAAGCATCATTGAATGCTTATTGAAGATTAGAAAATTATATATCTCAGGCTAAATATCCTCTCTCTCTCTCTCTCTTCTCTCTCTATCTATCTATCTATCTATCTATCTATCGTCTAGTCCCTCTGTTCATATCTAACTGTTTATCTATCTATTTATCTATCTCACATTGTTCATTTCTATCTAGCTAGCTAGATAGTCTTAGTCTCTTCGTATCTATCTATCTATCCGTCTGTCTATCTATCTATCTCAGTCTCTTCATATCTATCTATCTATCTATCTATCTGTCAGTCTCTTCATATCTAACTGTTTGTTCATATCTATCTATCTGTCTGTCTGTCTGTTTCTATCTATCTATCTATCTATCTATATATATATATATATATATATATATATATATATATATATATATATATAAATATCTCAGTCTCATATCTATCTAGCTGTCATCTCTTCATCTAGCTGTTTATCCATATCTATCTTCTTCTATCTCAGATCTAATCTGTTTGTCCTTCATATCTATGTTTGTTCATATCTATCTGTCTATTTGTCTGTTTATCTATCTATCTATCTATCTATATATATATATATATATATATATATATATATATATATATATATCAGTCTCTTCATATCTATCTATCTTTCTTCAGATCTATCCATATCTATCTATCTATCTATCTATCTATCTATCTATCTATCTATCCCTAGTTTGTTCATATCTCCGTATCTATCTATCTCTATTCATCTATCTAGTTTGTTCATATCTCCGTATCATAGTCTGTTTATATATCTATCATAGCCTGTTTATACTTATCTATCTCAGTTTGTTTCTATCGATTTATATTTTAATATGTTTCTATGTAGATATCCATCTCTGTTCATATCTGTTTGTTAATATATCTCTCTTCTCTCTCTCTCAATATATATATATATATATATATATATATATATATATATCATTATTAACTAGCATACCCTCAGCCCGAATTTAAAAGCAAATTTCTCGATTTATTGAAAGCTGTCTGGAATGAGAATCGCATCCCATAAAAGTGGATTCCTCAGGTATTTAATGTAAAGAAAGAAAGAAGCCAAAGTTTATCGCCGCCATCGTGGATCAATTATGGCGAAATGACGATGGAACACATTTTCTTAACAAGACTTCTGTTCTGTGAAAGTAAACTCTCCTGGTAACGTGTGTAATATTGACATACAGACAGGTGCAAAAGAATTATCTAATTTCAATTCTATATCATAGTTTCTACATTAGAAAGGTTTATCTATCTTTCTTTCTGTCTATCTATCTCACTCTGTCCATATCTATCTATCTATCTATCTCACTCTGTTTAAATATATCTAGATATCTCACTCTGTCCATATCTATCTATCTATCTATCTCACTCTGTTTAAATATATCTGTCTGTTTATATCTATGTACCTCGGTCTGTTCATATCTATCTGAGATAGATAGATAGATAGATAGATAGATAGATAGATAGATAGATAGATAGATAGATACGAGCAGACGAAGATAGATAGAGAGAGAAAGACAGGGGGAGAGATACGAACATAGATAGATACGAACAGACTGAGATAGATAGATAGATAGATATAGATAGATAGATAGATAGATAGATAGATACGAACAGACTGGGATAGATGATGAGATAGATAGATAGATAGATAGATAGATAGATAGATACCGGAATAGACTGGGATAGATAGATAGATGAATAGATAGATAGATAGATGAATAGATAGATGAACAGACTGGGATAGATAGATAGATAGATAGATAGATAGATAGATAGATAGATAGATAGATAGATAGATAGATAGATAGAACAGACTAGATAGATAGATAGATAGATAGATAGATAGATAGATAGATAGATAGATAGATAGATAGATACGAACAGACTAAGATAGATAGATAGATAGATAGATAGATAGATAGATAGATGTGGTTAATTCTACTGAATATACGTGCTTTACCGATAAATAATATTAAAATCTTTCTTTTAACAAAATACCCAAACAGATGTGTCGAGTAGAACAACTTTTGAGTTTTTTAATACCCACCTCTCTCTCTCTCTCTCTCTCTCTCTCTCTCTCTCTCTCTCTCTCTGACGTCAAGAACCTCTGGCGTCACGTGACTCTAAAAAGTCTTTTTTTTTCAGCAGGAGACAAGATTTCTGCTTGCCCAAGAGAGATACAATGCTGTCAAACACACATCGAATGTCGTACCCAACGCCTTTTTCTTGTACTATCTTTTTTCTTTATTTACTTTTAAAATGATCCGTCAAGCAGCAGACCGAATATTTTCAGAAATCACAGAAGAAAATTATAAATATTTTACACACACACACACACACATATATATATGTGTGTGTTTATGCATCTATTACACAAACACACACACACACACAGAGGCATATATATATATATATATATATATATATATATATATATATATATATCTCTGCCATATCAGATTGAAACAATATTTCTTATCCAATTCCATCTATCAGTCTGAGTTTTCGAGAAATCTTAGCAGAAAAATTTAGGCCAAAATATGAGGTGGATAAAATTTTAAATAAATTAAAAATAGCAATATGTTGGATTTAATCCATTTCCTAAAGATATATATATATATATATATATTTCGTATCTCTCTATATATATCTATCTATATTCGTCTGCTCGTATCTATCTATCTATCTATCCATCTATGAACAGACCGAGGTACATAGATATGAACAGACAGATATATTTGAACAGAGTGAGGAGGCACAGTGGAGTAATGGATAGCGGCTTGGATTGAGGAATCGCAGAGCCGAGTTCGAATTCCTGTCGAATCCATTACATTCACTTACGTGCTAATACCCTTGGGAAAGGTATGAATCCTCTTCTTCTCCCTCCAGCTATGGGTAAAATAGCAGGCCAGAATGGGTTCTATAGCAACTGGTCTAGGAGAAGGACAACTCTGAATTCAACGATGGCAACTGGACTAAGAGAAGGACAACTCTGAATTCAAAACCTGCGGAGGGTCGTTTGGGAACTATGTGGCATTTGGTGCACCAGGTCTCTGTATTCGTCCCTTCAAAAAGTGTGGATGGTCCCGCACGAGGCCTTCACCACTATAATCAAACCATCAAATCTCATGTGCCGGTGTCGGGCTGTCAGTTTCCTGGAAACTGATCTGCTTCACCCTCATACGTCGAATCTCGACGGAAGGGTCGATTATATATACAATCAAAATAAAAAGAAAGTTCAGTCAGATTTATAATCAAGAGTTCGTTTGCATTTTTATTTCTTAAAACCAGTGCTTTTTGAACAGTAAACTATAAATTAGAATTATTTTTTTTTTAAATATATATTCATAGCCGCACAAAAAATTACTACGTTTCGAAACTAAGACCTAAATCTTAAATTAAACTTAAATTTTAAAATTTAAAGTTCAGTTCCATTTTCAAGCGATACAAAGTAACCCTCGAAAAAAATTGATTTACTCTATTTATAAGCCAAATGGTATTATATCTTTGAAAATGGTGGGTAAACGAGAATTCAAATTTTTTTATTAAGGTCGTGTTGACTTTAGTTTCTTTTTTTGGGGGGGACGAATCAGTATATTTTTATGTGGCAAATTGAAAATTGGTTAAGGTTAGGTGGGGTTCTGAAATTTCTGTTTGTTGATACTGGCTTCCTTTTAAGCGAACGTGTCATCACAGTGTGTTTTTTTTAATTCTTTTACTTATTTTCTTATTTTCTAAAGCTACATCGAGATTTTCTTAAACATGAAAAGACGATGGACATGTTGAATTGAATATCGTCTAATGTTAATTATGTTTTATAAATATGTCCTGAAGAAGGTCTCCTAGACCGAAACGTCTGACGTTGACATTAAAATAACATTAAAACAGCATAATTGCATATTAGGATTTTTGTTTGTTTTTCCGTATATTTTTCTTCATATATATATATATATATATATATTTATATACACACATTTTTCACACACACATATACACACACACACACACACATATATATATATGTGTGTATGTGTGTGTGTGTGTGTGTGTGTGTGTGTGTGTGTGTGTGTGTGAAAAATGTGTGTGTGTGTGTATATAAATATAAATAAATATATATATATAATTATTTATATTTTATATACGCATTACTTATTAGAAAGCGCTCAATATCAGAGATAAAGCTAACAATTCACATCAATCCAACCAAATATATATATATATATATATATATATATATATATATATATATATATATTGATACAGGGTGTTGTGGATAAATTTTCGTCTAAACTACGCAAAAGGAAAATAACACTGACATCTGATTTTAACAGATATATTTCTCAGAATTGCACACAAATATCTTGAAATACTAAAGAGTAAATTTATTCAATAAAATCGTCATTGGCCTCCAAAAGAGACTTCGGAATCATTTTGCTTACGCACAGATTTGTCGTTGTTTCTGATATATATGTGTGTATATATATGCACATATATATACACACATATATATACACATACACACATAAATATATGCACATATATACACACGTATATATACATAAGCAAACAGACACACAAATATATATATATATATATATATATATATATATATATATATATATATATATATATATATATATATATATATATATATATATATATATATGAATCGATCATAAAGAGAGTTAAAATTATTATTTAGATGTGAAATATTCATGTAGTCATATTCTCGCAAAATTGTAATTTTCATACAAGATCAAGATAGATAGATAGACCGATTTTAGTAGGCGACAGATAGATAGATAGATAGATAGATAGATAGATAGATAGCTAACATAAAATACAGGTCCCAGTGGCGAGAGTTCGATGATCTTGCAAACATTCCACTCTTCGTCTTTCCGGTTACCCGTCAGATAAAATGTTAAATCGACTAAAAAAGTAGTGCGTCTTCCAATCTGTCTGTTCGTCCCGACAACACGGGGGGGGGGGGCACGTTGTTGAAATCCAAATTCCCGAATGCATTATGCCCGTTCTATCGTCAACTGGTCGTCGAGACTCTCTAAGTGTATGTCAGCATATATGGTATTTTATTATTGTTTAAATCAGCGTTTCATTTCAACATGTTTCGTTGGCGGCCATGGATCTCCACGATTTCCTCTCCTTTGTAGCGCTAATTAAATGTTGTCTTTTTGTCATCTCTTCTAAACCCTGCCATCCCTTTATTGACACTTATTCTTCTTTTATGTGCCGGGTGCTTTCATATCGTTGGCGGGCATGGCTCTCCACGATTTCCTCTCCTTTGTAGCTCTTATTAAATGTTGTCTTTTGTTATTTCTTCTAAACCCTGTTCTGCCATTCCAATTAAAGAAGGTCCTTAGATAGGCGAGCAATGTTTCATCTATCTCATACTCAACAGTGCCAGACCTGAAAGAAGCTCTAAAATATGATTTGAGCTGAGAAGAAATTAAGGCCTATGGTGAAAGCAAACGGCCGCCATTTTGAATTGTAACTATATTTTAAAATCTTGTCAGTAAATATTACAAATCAGACAGTTTGGTAAAATACATCTGTTGGGTACTTGGGTACACATCATCTGTAATGTTTCTAGCCGAGGTTCATTTTTGCGGGTCGGGTCTTTCAACGTCATACCCCCTCTACACGGTGACCCAGTGGATACTGAGTCGATATCGACTTGTGTACCTTCCATTACCTACAATTAATTAATTATTATTTATTTTTATTTATTTCCATCCTCCCGACCACACACTGTGATTCCGCTTGGCAATTTATTGTCCAATCCCTGATAACTTCCGGTTCGCCAACGATGTGTGCTCTTCTATAAAAAAAGGAAGCAAACGCAGCCACAGTTTTTATCTGGCAAGGAGGGCACCTCGAGGCAGCGTAATGGTTAGCAATCTTGTCTCGCTAGGACAATTATGACTGAGTAGCGAGTTCGATCCTCACTGGGTGCACCATGCTTTCGGCTTTGTGCCACATCTCAGCTACGCTTAGAAAATCGCTACGGTGTTTCTGTTTATATACTTACCTGGCACAGGGCTCGTTCCTGGGCTGGTGGTATCACGGCTACGATTAGCTTGGACCGGCTCCGGCTTGGACCAGGTCTGACAAGCCAAGACCAGCTATGACCAGCTTGGACAAGCTACGACCAGTTAAGACCAGGTCCCCACGTTAAAAACCGGCCCTGTGTCAGAACCTGGCTCAGTGGTGGGGAGTCAAGTAAATATCTATCTGGTAAGGAACATGGCGGTGTGCTATGTTTGTAGTGATAAGTAACAATTTATTTCCCGCTCTAAGACATAGAGACACACAAACGTGCTCAAGAATTAAATTCTGCTTACATTTATCCCATTTCTACTCAGGCTAATCATCCTCCCGAAGTAAAATATATATATATATATATATATATATATATATAATGGACTCTCCTGTCGAGATTCGACGTATGAGGGTCAAGCAGATCAGTTCCCAGGAAACCGACAGCCCGACACCGGCACATGAGATTTGATTATAGTGGTGAAGGTTTCGTGCAGGACCATCCACACTTTCTGAAAGGCCAGAGACCCAGTGCACTAAGTGCCAGTCCCCAAACGACCCTCCATGAGTTTTGAATTCAGAGTTATCCTTCTCCCAGACCAGGCCATCCAAGGCTATAGAACCCGGTCTGTAATGCTATTTACCCATGGAGAGAGAAGAGGATTCATACCTTTCCCAAGGGTATTAGCACGTAAGTGAATGTAATGGATTCGACTGAATTCGAACTCGGCTCTGCGATTCCTCAATCCAAGCCGCTATCCATTCCTCCACCCACCTCCCTCCCTCCCTGCCTGCCTGCCTGCCCTGCCTGCCTCTCTCTCTCTCTCTCTCTCTCTCTCTCTCTCTATATATATATATATATATATATATATATATATATATATATATATATATATATATATATATATATATATATATAAATAAAAAAAAAAAGAACAGTAAGATATAAAATCCAGGTGTTCTTATAGATATTTTTTAAAATAGTGCTCAATGTAAATTTACAGAGCATTAATATTATAAATTAATTGATTTAAAATATGGTTATTTTTCGCTACACAGTTCCAACCATGTTTCAAAAATAGAAGCTAAAACCCCTAATTTTATTTTTTGCAATAAATTAAAAGCATTAGTTCTATTTCATCTTCAAGCGAATTTTGGAGTAACTTTTAAAATTTACCGGGTTTTAAATACACAGCTAAAATCACGTTTCCATGGTTACAGAATATTCTACTCAAATTGAACACGGGGTGTCTAGATTTTCCTTATGACAGTATCATTGTATCAGTTATTAGCTACATTTTGGTAAGGGGTGAGGATGTATTTTACACTGAAACCTGACGTCAGTTGAATGGATGTCGTCTGAATTTTAAAAAAAAAAAAAAAAAAAAAAAAAATTGTTAACGGTAAAAATTTTTCAACGTCATCTTTTAAAATTAAAGATTTTTTTACAATACTTTTTATTTAACTACGATTTGAAATATTTTCCTTTTTAATTTTTATTTTACTATATTCTTTTTTTAGAACAGTTAAATGTATTAGAATCCATTATATTATGTAGGATTATTTTAACATTAAGTTTAAGTATGTATATGAGGTTACATTTTTTTTTTTTTGTATATGACTATGAAGCAGAAATGGTTACTTAATTTCACTGATTCAGTAAACTTTTCTTTTATATAAAACCTATTATTATAATATTTCACATGGGGTACTGAGGACATGGGTCATTCAAAAGCTTACATGTTATGGTATTTCATATTAATTTTATTTTACTATAGGTGTTATTTTTGGATTCTTTTAATGCGTGTAGTATTATTTAAAAGAAATTTAGGTTAGAATTCATTCAATTTAACATTTTAATTACAAATTCAAAATTACAACTTTAAAATTTTAAAATATTTTCATTGTTTAGTTTTAATAGACTATATTACTTTATAACAGAAGGAAAATTACTCATATTAAGTAAGATTATTTTTCCATATCAAAGTATATTTTTTTTTTTTTTTTTTTTTTTTTCTTCAAATTTAAATATTATTTAAGTAATATTAATGGCACTTACTACAAAACTAGCTAAGTCATTTCTCAGATTTAGTAAACTTTATTTATTTATTAATTAATTAATTTATTTATTTCAAATATATGTAACCTAATTAATAAAGTTTCATATGTATGTATAAATAACATGTTAGAATTCATTTTATTTTACTACAATTTTAATTTCAATTTTAAAATTATAACTTTAAAATTTTAAAAATATTTTCATTGTTAGTTTTAATTTAGACTATATTACTTTATAACAGAAGGATAATTACTCATAGTAAGTAAAAATTTTTTTTCCATATCAAAGTATATGTAAATTACAATTTTAAACTTTTAATTTAGATATTATTTAAGTAATATTAATGACAAAACTATCTAAGTCATTTCTCAGAATTAGTAAACTTTATGTATTAATTCAAGTTTAAGTTATATGAGGTTACATTTTTTTTTTTTTTTTTTTTTATATATATAAACCTAGTGATATAATGTTTCTAAGTACAAAGGACATGGGTCATTTCAAAGACATCTTATGGCATTTCATATTAATTTTATTTTACTATATTTGCTTTTTTGGGATTCTTTTTTAGTGCGTGTAGTATTATTTAAAAGAAATTTAGGTTAGAATTATTCAATTTAACTTTAATTTTAGTTTCAATTTTAAAATTACAGACTTTAAACTTTTTTATAATATTTTTCATTGTTAGTTATATTAGACTATATTACTTTATAACAGAAGGAATATTACTCATAGTAAGTAAAATTATTTTCAATATCCAAACGTATATGTAAATTACAATTTTTAAACCTTTATATTTTAAAATATTATTTTAGTAATATTAATGGAACTTACTACAAAATTAGCCAAGTCATTTCTCGGATTTAGTAAACTTTATTTATTACTTAATTTATTTATTTATTTTAAATATATGTAACCTAAGTAGTAAAGTTTCATATGTATGTACCAAGAACAGGTTAGAATTCATTTTATTTAACTACAATTTTAATTACAATTTTAAAATTACCACATTAAAATTTTAAAATATTTTTTCATTGTTAGTTTTAATTGACTATATTATTTATAACAGAAGGATAATTACTATAGTAAGTATAATTATTTTCCATAACAAAGTATATGTAAATTACAATTTTAAACTATTATATTTAAATATTTAAGTAATATAAATGGCACAGACTACAAAACTATCTAAGTCATTTCTCAGATTTAGTAAACTTTATGTATTAATTAATTAAATTATTTATTTTAAATATATGTAACCTGAGTAATAAAGTTTCATATGTATGTACAAAGAACAATGGGTCATACATTACCTTACATCATCTAGCTTTAGTTATAATTTCATTTTTCAGGAGGTGTTTTATCGGATTCATTCAAGTGTTTGTAGTACATTTATTATAGAGGTGTTTTCAGGTTAGGATACATTTTATTTAACTACAATTTTTTAAACGGTGTTTATGTTTTAATACGTTTTAACCACAATTTTAAATAACAGTTTAAAACATTTTCCTGCCATTCCAATTTTTTTTTTTTTTTTTTTTATATATTATTTAAGGAAAATTTTTTCAATGACGGCATATAATAGCTATTTCATTTCTCTGATTCAGTAAATTTTTATTTTTATAAACTTAGTAATATATAGTTTCTCTTGTATACATAGAGGACACGGGTTGTTTAATGATCTACAAATTCTAGCTCTTCTTATTAACTTCCATTTTACTGTAGGTGTTTTATTTGATTCTTTTTAGATGCCAGAAATATTTTGAGAGAGATGTTTGATTTTTATATTTATTTATTCTAAATGAAGTTTGATGTTGGTTGAATCTTTTTTTGAATTCATGGCTAGTAACCTATATATATATTTTATGTTATCAGGATTTTCAATCGAAGAGATATTGCATTGGTATACTAATGATTCAGTGCAACATTTATTTTGTAGTGGGCAATTTTGAGGGTTTCATTACAATTACATAGTTTTTGTTTATTTACATCAGTTTTTATCTTAATTTTTCTATTGTCTAAATTTTTTTGGTTTTGGTATAAGTGTTTATTTAAGATATTAGCATTATGGTTCTTAATGATTTTTCTAAGTTCTTTTGTACAGCTATAACTTAATTTTATGTGTTTTTTTGAAAATAGTACTTAGTTTATTTTCACAAGGGAAATGCTTGACTATTAATGTGAGGAATTTATGTCCTAATCTGTTCTTTACCATTTTTAGTTATATGGGGATATATACCAAATAATTTTTCTACATCTGTTTTTTTCTATGTTTTCCATTTTCATTTTTATATACACTAGTTTTGGGTTTTTGTAGCCCTTTTTTTTTTTTTTTTTATGTATTCAGACGACATCCATTCAACCGACGTCAGGTTTCAGTGTAAAATACATCCTCACCCCTTACCAAAATGTAGCTAATAACTGATACAATGATACTGTCATAAGGAAAATCTAGACACCCCGTGTTCAATTTGAGTAGAATATTCTGTAACCATGGAAACGTGATTTTAGCTGTGTATTTAAAACCCGGTAAATTTTAAAAGTTACTCCAAAATTCGCTTGAAGATGAAATAGAACTAATGCTTTTAATTTATTTGCAAAAATAAAATTAGGGTTTTAGCTTCTATTTTTTGAAACATGGTTGGAACTGTGTAGCGAAAATAACCATATTTTAAATCAATTAATTTATAATATATATATATATATATATATATATATATATCTTACACTGTATATATCTAAGAAAAGACAAAAGGAACGCGTTTCCTTCCTATACGAAACCTTATCAAGGAAAATTTTATTTAGTAACTTAGTAATTTTACACAGAAATAACGTCAAGAAAAATATCTTTTTTTTTCAAATCTTGAGAACGCCCTTCTTCTTTATATACCCTGTTCCCTCGGAACTTAAGTGATCATGGCTCTCCACAATTTCCTTGCCTTCGTAGCTCTTAATAAATTTTGTCTTTTTGTTATTTCTCCTAAACCCTGTTCTGCCATCCATTTCCTCAAGCACAATAATTAGGTTATGCATTGTTTTCCTCAGTCCCTCTTGTTTTCAATCTGTCCTGTGTGTATAAGATTTTCCAAGCCGTCTTTCCTCATTGCGAGCCCTAGAAATTTTAAAGCCTTCTTTCCTTATTATGTGCCCTAGAAATCTCAGCAGTTTTTTCCTGATTTGAAACATTTTTCTTCTTCATGGGCCTAGTTCCCTAAGGATGTAGGCGATCATGGCTCTCCACAATTTAAATTTAAATTTAAAGAAATTTACTCTCAAAGACGACGGAGAATCTGACTCAGAAATCCAAAAGTGTATAGCAATAGCAGAAGATGCCTTCCTAAAGCTAAGCAAAGTATTAAAAAATAGGAAAATTTTCTGCGAAACAAGTACTGAACTGTTATGTAATATCAATCCTCCTATATTGCAAAGAATGCTGGGAAGCTTTCTTATTTTTCAAAGACAATTAGGATACTTGAGGCAGCAGAGGTGGTTAACTACTGAAGGATGCTGAGAATGCCTTAGCCGTAACATGTGAACAGCGAGGAAGTTTTAAGAAAAATAGGTGCAAAAAAGACACTTTTTCTTTTCTGTTAATCTGTTTAAATTCTTGCAGAAAAAAACATTTTTTAATGTGTGTTAAGGATTAATTTAATCTTCTATGTCTGTCATATCCTTTCGGATTGTAGACGATCATGGCTCTCCACAACTTCCTGGCCTATAACAAATTTTCTATTTATGCTATTTCTTCTAAAATTTGTTCCGCCCTCCATTTACTCAAGCTCACTAATTAGGTTATACGTTGTTTCCTCTGCTCTTCTTTGTGTCGTGTGAGTATCAGATTTTCCAAGCCATCTTTCCTCATTATGAGCACTAGATATTTCTTGATGTTAAATATAAGTGACATTTTTGTTTCTGTTTACTCTAAAAAAATTCGTTTTGCTCAAATATTCAGTCCATTGAGTTCTCGGCATCTTGGTAAAGAACCACAATTCTGTTGCTTCATGTCTTTTCCTCGACTGTGAGGAGACTATTCAGGTGTTTCCTGTTCATAGGAGCACTGATATTACGACAGTTAAATACTGTTTTTCTTGTTTCTAACGAAATTTTCCTGTTTCTTAATACTTTGCTTAGCTTTTGGAAGGCATCTTTCGCTATTCCAATGCATCTTGGGATTTCAGTGTCATAGTTTCTTTCCTCTGTTAAAACACTTCCCAGATATTTATCTGTTTGCGTCTGCTTGATTTTGATATCCCCAATATGTAATTTGCGTGTTGGGATCCCCCTTTTGCTAACAACCATACTGCCTTCTTAGGATTGATGTTTAGTCCTTTCTTCTCGCTTTCTACCTTCTGTAGGAGTTTCTGTAGTTTACTTTCTATGTCTGCTATCAACATCTTGTCATCTGCATATTTCATTTTGTTAAGATTCTGGCCGCTAATAATGAATCCTGGTAGGACATCTAATTCTCTCAAAATCACCTCACAATGTAAGTTGAATAAGCCCTGTGTCTTACCCATCGATCTATTTTGTATATATACGAAATTCATTTTCTAAAATGTTTTATTATTATTTTCCTGGGTAAGACGATAAACTACATCCGCGTCCTGGGTATGACGATAAACTACACCCGTGTCCTGGGTATGACAATAAACTACATCCGTGTCCTGGGTAAGACGATAAACTACATCCGTGTCCTGGGTATAACGATAAACTACATCCGCGTCCTGGGTATGACGATAAACTACATTCGTATCCTGGGTAAGACGATAAACTATATCCGACAGCCAGTCAGGAGGTTTTGAAGAACGTGGAACCACCTCTTAATTGCTGGTGTTCCCAGGTCCACCCTGACCCGTGATGGTAGCACCTGACAGGGTCCCAGCTATGGTCAAATAGTTAACACCACCAAACTGGGGTCAAAACACTATGAAAGTGTAAAAATAGATTTTAATACCAACTAAATATAAATAATAATAAATAAAAATATAATAGATATAAAAAATTTTTTTTTTTATACGATATATATATGATATATTATATATATACGTCATCCACAGACAGAGGGCTTCGCTGATAAACATCCGGTTGCCTCTAGCTAGGATCGAAACCCGACTGACGGCTTAATAGTTAGAATCTCCGACTGACTTAGTGTCAGTCGGAGATTCTAACTATTAAGCCGTCGGCGCACGGTAAGGGTGAAAGTGGATTTTTAGCGTATTTATTTTTTTAGAAACACGCCCAGTGACCGACAGTGACTCGATTCGCTTTTTGCGAAGAGTCTCGGTATATAGCTATAAATAGTCACTGTTTACCAACCGACGCCTCCTCCCCAGAGAGCTCAACTGAAATTAATTTTTCAGGAGCCAATAAACGTTATCCACAGACAGACTGTTTCGCTGTTTCACAGCTCATCAGTGCGGCTAGATATAATATATATAAAATACATTATATATATATGATAAAATATATATATATATATATATATATATATATATATATATATATTATAAAATAAATTACAAAGATGAGCTACAATATAAGGTGGTGGGATACATTTTATGTGGATATGTGCGGAAGATAACGGTTAATCCTAGACTTGAACAGCTTAATATTGTAGTGATCGGGGAAGCATCCACCTGGGAGTCGGCTTCAAAAGTTAAAGGTTCGTGGAAAGAAACTGCTTGAGTAGACCTTACATCTCCCCGGTGGGAATATGAAAAGAATGGGCGTGGTTCGCTACAGTGTGCTTGGCATGACCGGTCTTAGCCGTGAAGGTTTGAACTGACGGAAACTAAAGAATGTCGTTCGTCTGAAGACTTTCGATAGAAATAACAGTGAGAATCTTGCAATGCCTCGTCTGGGAGTGAAGGGTTTCAGAGAGGAAGGTAATTCATCACCCACAATGACGCGGGGACGCTTTTGAATGGAAATGGAAAGCGAAGACTGGACATTTGCTACCCATATATGGTAGCAGCACTCCGATCTGGCTCTTTACAAGAGCCAGATCAGGTAAGCGACAGGTACTTTCTATAGCGGAACATGGAACAGAGACGGATCCTATGTAGGGTAGATAGGAACGTGATAGCTGTATAAGCAGAATAAAGAGGGCGAGGGAAGAGTAGACAAAATATAGCGAGTAAGAGATGAATAGAGAAAACAGATAAAGAGAATGAGAGAGGGGGAAGTGAGCGGTTTAGTGGTGTGGAAAGGAGGCTGATGAAAAAAAACTTTTATGATCGGAGGAGAAAATCGTTCAAGATAATATGGCGTTGGGAATTTTAAAATAGACTTTTCTTTCTTTCTTATCTTAACTAATTTTGCCTTTGTTGTGGGGTCGGGGTCTGGATTACTGAATTCAAGAGCACAAGTGCTTACATTCTGGGGCCAAGTGGAAAAGCCGAGAACTAATTGGGTGAAAATACATTTATTATTTAAGTTGCGAGCTGACACATGACTTCAGCTGGGAAATGATTTTAGCAAAAGAAAAGCGTCCGCCTCGCACGCCATGTTTTCTTTTTTATTATTTAATAATGGCACTATTTCAAGCTTGCAACATCTAAAAATATTACAAGTGTTGAACTTTAAAATAAGTACGGCATCCATATATAATTAATTTTTACATTATTTTTTCAGATTGCTATAGACAGCTTAATCTATAGCCAGATCTTCTTCTTCTTCTTCTTCTGCTGCTATGTGCCATGTCCCTCAGGGCGTGAAGGATCATGGTCCTCCACAATTTCCTGTCCTTTGTGGGTAGATTTTGTTTTTTCGCTCTTTCTTCTCCTCCCTATACTGACATTCAATGGAGCTTTTCTTTTCTATAAATACTTTCACGGTGACGTCTATATCTCTGAGATGAGGTATTATGATTGCTTGCGCTATTTACGTCGTTCGGACTGTTATCCTCATCTTCATTGCCATATTCACAACATTTCGGCCGTTGTACACTCCAGACTTCATCAGGTGATTGGATCTCTGAGTTGAGGTATTATGATTACTTACATTATTTACATTATTCGGACTGTTATCCTCATCTTCATTGCCATATTCACAACATTTCGACCGTTGTACGCTCCGGCCTTCTTCTGCTCATTGGATCTCTGAGATGAGGTATTATGATTACTTGCATTATTTACATTATTCGGACTGTTATCCTCATCATCATTGCCATATTCATAACGTTTCAGCCGTTCTACGCTCCGGTCTTCTTCAGGTGATTGGAACTCTGAGATGGGGTATTGTGATTATTTGCATTATTTACATTATTCGGACGGACTGTTATCCTCAACATCATTGCCATATTTGCCTTTGATCTTCAAACATTTCAATGTCAATCGTTGTCTACGCTCCGGTCTTCTTCAGGTGATTTTTCTCAACTCTGAGATGGGCGTCCTATTTTATTGATTATTTCAAACATTATTTCAATCGTTGTTATTCGGACGGACTTAATAGTTTTTTCTCATTCTTCTCTAACACTCAGTCCTAGTGGATTTATTGCCTTTGATCTTCAAACATTTAAATGCAATGTCAATCGTTGTCTTCTGTCTTCTTAATTCTTCTTCTTTTATTGTCCTCTCTCCTTAATAGTAGTTTTTCTCATATTCTCTAACACTCAGTAACCCCTTGCGTCCTAGTGGCTTTATTGCCTCTGATCTTCAAACATTTAAATGCAATGTCAATCGTTGTCTTCTGTCTTCTTAATTCTTCTTCTTTTATTGTCCTCTCTCCTTAATAGTAGTTTTTCTCATATTCTCTAACACTCAGTAACCCCTTGCGTCCTAGTGGCTTTATTGCCTTTGATCTTCAAACATTTAAATGCAATGTCAATCGTTGTCTTCTGTCTTCTTAATTCTTCTTCTTTTATTGTCCGCTCTCCTTAATAGTAGTTTTTCTCATATTCTCTAACACTCAGTAACCCCTTGCGTCCTAGTGGCTTTATTGCCTCTGATCTTCAAACATTTAAATGCAATGTCAATCGTTGTCTTCTGTCTTCTTAATTCTTCTTCTTTTATTGTCCTCTCTCTTAATAGTAGTTTTCTCATATTCTCTAACACTCAGTAACCCCTTGCGTCCTAGTGGCTTTATTGCCTCTGATCTTCAAACATTTAAATGCAATGTCAATCGTTGTCTTCTGTCTTCTTAATTCTTCTTCTTTTATTGTCCTCTCTCCTTAATAGTAGTTTTTCTCATATTCTCTAACACTCAGTAACCCCTTGCGTCCTAGTGGCTTTATTGCCTCTGATCTTCAAACATTTAAATGCAATGTCAATCGTTGTCTTCTGTCTTCTTAATTCTTCTTCTTTTTATTGTCCTCTCTCCTTAATAGTAGTTTTTCTCATATTCTCTAACACTCAGTAACCCCTTGCGTCCTAGTGGCTTTTATTGCCTTTGATCTTCAAACATTTAAATGCAATGTCAATCGTTGTCTTCTGTCTTCTTAATTCTTCTTCTTTTATTGTCCTCTCTCCTTAATAGTAGTTTTTTCTCATATTCTCTAACACTCAGTAACCCCTTGCGTCCTAGTGGCTTTATTGCCTTTGATCTTCAAACATTTAAATGCAATGTCAATCGTTGTCTTCTGTCTTCTTAATTCTTCTTCTTTTATTGTCCTCTCTCCTTAATAGTAGTTTTTCTCATATTCTCTAACACTCAGTAACCCCTTGCGTCCTAGTGGCTTTATTGCCTCTGATCTTCAAACATTTAAATGCAATGTCAATCGTTGTCTTCTGTCTTCTTAATTCTTCTTCTTTTATTGTCCTCTCTCCTTAATAGTAGTTTTTCTCATATTCTCTAACACTCAGTAACCCCTTGCGTCCTAGTGGCTTTATTGCCTCTGATCTTCAAACATTTAAATGCAATGTCAATCGTTGTCTTCTGTCTTCTTAATTCTTCTTCTTTTATTGTCCTCTCTCCTTAATAGTAGTTTTTCTCATATTCTCTAACACTCAGTAACCCCTTGCGTCCTAGTGGCTTTATTTCCTCTGATCTTCAAACATTTAAATGCAATGTCAATCGTTGTCTTCTGTCTTCTTAATTCTTCTTCTTTTATTGTCCTCTCTCCTAATAGTAGTTTTTCTCATATTCTCTAACACTCAGTAACCCCTTGCGTCCTAGTGGCTTTATTGCCTCTGATCTTCAAACATTTAAATGCAATGTCAATCGTTGTCTTCTGTCTTCTTAATTCTTCTTCTTTTATTGTCCTCTCTCCTTAATAGTAGTTTTTCTCATATTCTCTAAGAGTCAGTAACCCCCTTGCGTCCTAGTGGCTTTATTGCCTTTGATCTTCAACCATTTAAATGTAATGTCAATCGTTGTCTTCTGTCTTCTTAATTCTTCTTCTTTTATTGTCCTCTCTCCTTAATAGTAGTTTTTCTCATATTCTCTAAGAGTCAGTAACCCCCTTGCGTCGTAGTGGCTTTATTGCCTTTGATCTTCAAACATTTAAATGCAATGTCAATCGTTATCTTCTGTCTTCTTAATTCTTCTTCTTTTATTGTCGTCTCTCCTTAATAGGATTTTTTCTCTTATTCTCTTGTGTCTTAGTGACTTTATTGCCTTGCTTGGAGTGAAATGATTAAAAGAATTATTTACACAAGCTCTATATGTATGGTATTTGCTGCTCTTCTCTATCCTTCTTGTCTTCAAACTCCCCTGTGAGTGTCAAATTTTCTAGGCTGTCTTTCCTCTTTATGTGCCCAAGAAATTTTAACTTTTTATTATGTTAATTGTAAGTGTCCCTTTGTTTTCATTTCTTCATCTGATTCTCAGTATCAGTCTGTCTTTCTTAAAACACTCTTACTCAAAGTATCCTCAGCATCCTTCTGTAGAACCACATTTCTATTGCTTGGAGTCTCTCCTTGTGGAAATTGTCCAGCATTCACTGCCACATAGGAGAACCGATTTTACATGACAGTTCAGCACTTTTTTTTTTATTTCAAACAAGATTTCCCCGATTCTTAATACTTTGCTTAGCTTTTGGAAGGAATCTTCCGTAACCCCTATACGCATTCGGATTTCGGATTTTCTGTCCTCTGTTAAAATTTAAATTTTTGTACGTGCTTGATTTTGGCATCCCCTATTTGCAATTCGCATGTTGGACTGACCCTTTGTTTACAACCATATATTTGTCTTCTTACAATTAATGCTTAGTCCTTTCTTCTCTCTTTCCTTTACTGCTTTCTATAGGAATTCTTATAATTTACTATTTTCCGTGTCTGTTCAACCTGCATATCTGATGTTGCTAAGATTGTGGCCGCCAATAATGAATCCTGGTAGGAATTCTAATTCTCCCAGAATCACTGCACTATAAAAGTCTGGTTTTGTATATTTACGGAATTCATTTTCTATCCGTTTACAGACGGATTCTTCCCAGTTCCAGGATTATTCTATCTTCCCCAAATACAGGGTGACCAAAAAAAAAACGAGAACTTTTTAACAATCCAATAAAACCAAGAATGATGAAAGAAAAATATTTTATTCATAAACCTTAAAACATGCCTTTTAAGAAACAATGACGGAATTTTTATTTTTTTAAAACTTACGTCCTGTAGATGGCGTCCTCCTGTACGAATGCATTCTTGAAATCTGCTGTTGAGATTCCTCATTGACTGCTGCAACATCTCAGCTGGGATACTGTGTTTACACAACTCGACCAAGAACTCTCGATGAGTTAAAACAGAGAATTCCAGATCAAATTCACAGTATCCCAGCTGGGATCGGTTTCCTAGGAGCCATCCGCTCCTAAAGACAGCGGCCGGCAAGGACTCCATAGGAATAAATTCGTTGGGAAAAGGTTGTTTTGTCTTGTTGTTTTGTTCTCTTTCGTTCTTAAATTGTTTTTAAATTTGCGGGCTATGCGAAACTTTATTTTGACCCATAGAAATAGGAATTGGCTCCAGTCTGAAGAAAAGACCAAAGCAAAGTTTAACGAGCCTATGTGAAAATTTATTTTGACCAGTAGAAAAGGGAGCGGCTTACAAACTGAGAAAAAAGTAACAAGCCGATATGAAATCACTTTTTGATATAAATAAGCAGGAAAAATTGAATCAAGGCAGAAACAGAGAGAAAAAAGGCAGAAAGAAGAAGGAGGCAAAAAGCCAGAGTTCCACGCATCTGAATAATGGCTGTGTTAAATTACACGTTGATATTTTATCAGCCCCTAATGAGAGCAGAACTCTACGAACTTTATTCAACTCCAAAGCTAAGTACCTTAAAATATATCTTGTCATTCATGTTGAATACAACCGTATAACCTTTATGTGAAAAACGAATTCTCTAAGTTTGTTTTAAACATTTTGAAATATTACTTTGTGTCCGATGCTTTAATATGGATATTTTATCTTCTTGACAATTCATCGAAACTACGAACTTTAAATATTTGATTCCTTTTCCTGAAACAAGCTAATGACAACTTCAAATGAGTAAATTTGTAAATAAATTCCTTATATTGTTTCCTTAAATATAACGTATATTTCCTCGTCATTATCCCCTAATACTTCAGGTTCTTGTTTCTTTTTCATGGTGTGTAGTTGTCGTTGACTGAGGTGTTTTCATGGGTAACAAGAGAATTCTGGTCGGATGTTTACAGACCCAACTGCCTATCATCGACGGGTGATCCACGTTGTTTTTTTGTTTTTGTTTTTTTGCTGTGTGTCTTTTTATTGCTCCCGAAATCGGTGTATATACAACAAACGTGATCCGGTGATTGGCTCCAAATAAAAGCTTTTCGATTTACGCGAGATAGCACCCAGCGATCTGTTCCTTTAGATTACAAACGTACGGACGTAATCGGAAATTGTTATAGAGTAGTTTCACAGTGGAGGCTTGTATTTTCACGAAGTCGGTCCTAAAAAGGTTCGACGTACAAAACGTTAGGAACTTGATATAAGAGTTAATGACGCAGCAATCTAGTTGTGGTGGCTGATACTTTAATGTCCGACATCGACTGACTCACCAACTCACTGAGAGTATTTAGTCACCCCCCATGAGGGCATCATGTGGCACAAGGCCGGTTTGACGTGGGATCTCCGAGCCCGTGGGATCTCCGAGCCCGTGGAATCTCCGAACCCGTGGGCTCGGCCAAAAATATGCTCATTGAACCCGTATAAACGGGTTCAGGGTCGGTTTACCTCCCCGAAAGAGACACCGCCCTTCGGCGTAGCCTCGTTCGGGTTCCTCCCCGCCCGAAGGCAGATAGTTCAACCGTTCAGCTGGTCGTCCGACTTCAGACTGAACTCAGACAAACTCACTGAGCTCCCTGGCAACTGCTACTACTACTACTACTTATTATATGTGGGAGAGTCTATTAACAATAGAATAGGTATGTTTCAGTATAACAGAAATATAGCTCGTGACTGTATTGTCCAAACAAATTCCAGAAACCACTTATTTAATTTGGGGTCCTATTTTTTTTTTTTTTTTTTTTTACTAATTTGTAGAAAAGTTTTTTGTTTTAGTGATTCTGACCCTATTTATGTGTGGGTGTTTCTTACTTATTCATGTTTCACCTATTGGTTGTAAAATATAGGATTTTGACCAAAAGATTTTGCTAATTTAAATCTCCGATTACGTGTCCTTATAGCAAATATAGGCAGTAAGCGATACAAAAAAGAATTTATCAAAATTTTGTCTTACTTTGGTTTACTACAAGGAAAAAAATAAGTACAGCGTACAAATTTTATTTTGGAGTTATATGTTAGAATTTTTGGGTACCTTAGTACTAGTGAGCCAGCCAAAATGAGCTGACTCATTTTATAGTTCACCAATAGAAGGGTTAACCAATCAGAAAGCTCAAAATATTCAATGCGACGTGTATAAAGGCGACCATGTTTTTTCCCGAATATTCACTGCCAGCCTTTGATATCGAAGACTGAAGAATTACGGAACAGCTGCTGGTGGTATTGGCGATATAGTCAGATTCAGTAGAGAGACTGACACGTGAGTGTTAATCTTTAATGTTGTTTTATTGGACAGATTACGTACTGTGCTGTATTCTATATTCATAGACTATGGTGAACATGGTTAACATTATATCTATATAATAAAACATAACATAACATATATATAACATAAAGAAAATGTGATTAAAATATTAACACTTTCTTTCATTTATATTCTAGCAATAAACAGTATTTATATCGGCTAATACCGTACAAATTTTTTAATTTGGAATGAGATCTACATAGTAAAACATATATATATATATATATATATATATATATATATATATATATATATATATATATATATATATATATATATATATATTTAATATAAATGCTCTATTTATAATAAACAGTATGGATACAGGTTCGATTCCTGTCGGGAGACGCATATTTTTTCGGACATTCAGACCGGTAAATGTTAATACAAAGCATTTATTAATTATTTGTGTCTACATAAATAACGTATAACAATAAAATATATTAAAATAACTGCCGAACTTAGTCCATTCATAAGATAGATAGATAGATAGATAGATAGATAGATAGATAGATATTATGAAATGGACTAAATCCGATAATTATTTTTAAAAATAATATATAAACTCTAGATTGCTGCGTCATTAAAATAATTGTCAGATTTAGTCCATTTCATAATTTATATGACGTCATTTGTTTACATTAAGATACGCTTCAAGCAGATATGAGCGTTCGAGAGAAACCATGGGAAGTTTGTAGTTTAAAAGCAGACGTTTCCTCTATAACTTAATGGTATAGCATGTCAGGCTATATGGCGGTTCCGTATAGGATACAGGTTCGATTCCTGTCGGAGGACACATATTTTCTATGAATTTTCTCGGACATTCAGGCCGGTAAATGTTGTTAATACTGTTTATTATAAACAGAGCATATACTGAAATATTTGTGTCTATATACATAAACATATAACAATAACACACACACATATGTAATATATATATAGTGAGAGATGTTATTTATCAATCCACCCACGGGGACCGAATGTGGCACGAGGCCTTTTTAATGTGGGTATCTCTGAGCCCGTAGGCCCAGCCAAAAATAAATAACCATCCAAACCCGCCGAGGCGGGCCAGTTCCGTCAACCTCCCCCAACGAAACCCTACCCTTCGGCGGAGCTTCGTCCGGGTTCCTCTCTGCAAGCAGAGAGTTCGACAGACACCGACCGGCAGCTCTAAAGCGCAGATACTACACTTTGATCCTAACCACCGGGCCGAGCGGGTATTCTTTTTATGGATAAAAATTTGGATATGGATAAATTAATATATATATATAGAGAGAGAGAGAGAGAGAGAAACACAGAGACAGAGAAAGAGTGGGATGGAGAGAGAGAGAGAAAATGTAATTGAAATATTAAAAAAATAATCTATTAATAATATTCTTTGGTAATAATATTTTCCTGGGTAAGACGATAAACTGCATCCAACAGCAAGGCCTCTGATCAGGAGGTTTTGAGGAGCGTGGAACCACCTCTTAATTGCTGGTGTTCCCAGGTTCACCATGACCCAGGATAGTAGTACCTGTTAGGCGCCCAGCTATGGGCAAATAGTGAACTCCTAGTTTTTTTCAGATCTTACCCATGTCCTGGGTATGACAATAAGCTACATCCGCGTCCTGGGTATGACAATAAACTTCTTTAATAGTACTTATATATAGTATATATATATATATATATATATATATATATATATATATATATATATATATATATCATCAAATTTTTTTAGACATCTAAATTTCCGTATAGGATACAGGTTCGATTCCTGTCGGTAGACACATATTTTCTATGAATTTTCTCGGACATTCAGGCCGGTAAATGTTGTTAATACTGTTTATTATAAACAGAGCATATACTTAAATATTTGTGTCTATATACATAAACATATAGAAATAACACACACACATATGTAATATATATATATATATAGAGAGAGAGAGAGAGAAAGACAGAGAGAGAGTGGGATGGAGAGAGAGAGAGAGAAGATGTAATTAAAATATTAAAAAATAAATAATATTCTTTGGTAATAATATTCTCCTGGATATGACGATAAACTGCATCCAACAGCAAGGCCTCTGATCAGGAGGTTTTGAGGATCTTGGAACCACCTCTTAATTGCTGGTGTTCCCAGGCCCACCCTGACCCGGGGTGGTAGCACCTATTAGGCGCCCAGCTATGGGCAAATGCTTGTCTTCTAAACTGGGGTCAAAACACTATTTAATTGTAAAATAGATTTTAATACCAGAAATGAAATTTTGAAGATAAAATTATTACCAACAATACTGTAGGATGCTAACTTAGTTTAATGTTGAAGTTACCAATGTGGCTGCGTGTTGAATAAGCATTTAGCATTTATACATAATTTTAAAAAACATCAAGGAAAAAACAACGAAGAACTAATTTGTTCCAACGAATAAACATATATATATTAAAATCAACAATAAATACAAGGTATAATATGTGAATAGGGAGAAAAAGGTAGTTTCCCTTTATCTGTCAGGAAATGTTTTTAAGCAAGTTTTTCTGAGTATAAAGTTCAGAGTTTTGTGTTAAGATAGAATGTATCTTCAGAAGATTGTACAGTAATGTGTTTGTAACTAACAGAGTTTGTTCACAGAGAACTGAATGTCTATCAAATTCACGTTCTGTATCTGTGTGTATGTGCGTGCGGAGTGAGTAGAACGAATAACAAGTGTGAGTAGTCGAGATCTACTGTCTCTGTTCTGTACTCTACTGTGGTGCTGGTACTACTGCTTGATTTGGGAATGTATCCGGATTTATATTACTACCGGTGGCTCCCAGCACGAACGCAGGACAATATTTTGGAAATAACACGAAAAATACTCGATTGGATGAAAAATGAACCAATCGGTGATTTTATAACAAAATTTGTTTGTGAGTAAACTGTAGGAAAAATTTCAGTATGGTGAAATGCGATCGGTAAATTGTCTTACTATTTTTAGTATATATTAATCGACCAATCACAGCTGAAGAAATGTAGGCGTGGCACTACAATACATTTTGGAAGGAAAATATTACCAGCAATATAAAATCTTGTCGGCATTAAATAACCAACCGAGGTTGATATTCCATAAAACAAACCAAACCAAACCAATACAAAAATAAGGGAAAACTCGGAGTAAGAGAATTCACAGTATGGCAAAAGACACCAACTTCTCTTGTATCAGTTCTGTAAAGGGCTTCTGAGCTCGAAAGGGATTTGACAAATTCTTGTAGGTTCTGGCGTGTGAAATTTGTTGCACAAATCTACCTTTCATCTCTCATGTTAGATTTATCACCTGTCACCGGACTGTCCTTTTATGAAGAAAAACTGTGAAAAACTGTGAAAACTGTCCCGGCTGAAATTGACGTTCGGTCGTTTTCTTTTCAAATCCCCAACTGCTGATAGCCGTCCTTTTTAGTCTCAATGGGGCCATAAAATTCGGCTCCAGTCAAAATTTTTAGGTGCTAGAAAAAACTTGATTTCCATTGGCCAATCTATGTAAAATCCCCTTTCGAGTATTCAAAAAAAAAAGTAGATTCACAAGATCCTGGCACTTCGCCCCTTGACCGACATAAAAATGCACGAAATTTAACATTTTTTTTTTTACAAAATAAAATTTTTATAACTTACAGGCACAAAATCATACATTCTCCCCAATAAATCTACTTTAAAATATATTTCAATAAATATATGATGAAACATATTAAAGAAAAAAAACATTTTCACAAACTATCCTTTTAAAATAACGAGAGTACGTGTTATGCGAAGATAAATATAGTACCTAATCATAAATATAGTACCTAATCATAAATTTATCTATCTTCAAGGTACTATCTATTGTGGAACTTGTAGAAACTAACTTAGTGTTAACCATAAAACTATCTTTACTATTTTTCTTGTATTGCGAATTCAATCCCCAGACTCCAACTATTGCATCCTTGTGCCAGGAAATTAATTAATGCACAGTTCAACCATCAGCATTATGTAGTTTCCCGCTCTTTTTGCTATGACCTCTTACGGGCATTTACGAAACTAAGGGCAGATCACTCTAATGAACTGGTTCACATTGAACTGTCTTGAGTTGGAGGTTCATTTTTATTGTCAAGCGAATAAGTCTAAAGTTGTTTGTTATTTTTTTTATTTGGTAAGTAAATTTGTTTAATACCAGTTCCCGGTTTCTTTTCTTTTAATGATAATTTTTGACATAGTAAAAAGAAAAAAAAAAAGATTGGTGTTTTGGGGTTTTTTTTTTTTTTTTTTTTTTTTTTTTTTTTTTTCCAAGATTTTTCCGGTTTATTTTTTTTGCTTTTTAGAAATTGTTTACTTTTAAATTCTGACTGAAAAAATAATTAATGCGTAAAGTTTCATTTTAAGCCCCAAAATTCCATAATTTAAAACCCTTTTTTTTTTAAACTTACACTTAAATTTAGGACTTGATATTTTTTTTAAACAAGCAACAAAAAAAAACTTCACTATTTTATATTTCGTCCATTACCTCCGTAATGCGGAAATTATTAATTTGCAGTATAAGCACTAAAATCTCACGGTAATAAAATCTCACGGTAATAAAACCTCACGGTAATAAAATCTCACGGTAATAAAAAATTGCTGATTTCAGCTAAAACAGAATTTGAAGTTTTCCCGCGCATTCTCTGACGTCACTGACGAACGGTGTTTTTGAAATCAGTCGCTGCCTGGTCTCCGAGCAAAAAGGTCGACTCATTTTTTTTTCGCGCCCCTTACCCATACGCGGGCCGAATTATCTTAACTACAAAAACTTCCTAGTAAACTCTTTGGCTCATCATGCCGAATCTCTTCATGTGGTTACAACTTTCTGCGAACAACTTGTTAGAACCTTCCTCCATTTTCTACCAGAGAATGTGGAGTTGACGACACCGTCGCCATCACACTTTTACAATGACTAATTCCTCGTCCTGACGCGAACAACTTGTTCGAACTTTCCTCCGTTCACTACCAGGAACATAGAGTTTTTCGAACGGACGATTGATAAACTTCACATACACCTTTGGAACTCTAACCTTACGAACCAGTTTAAAAAAAAAAAATAACATTACACCCACATGACAAAAAATCACGCAGTGAGTTTTTCTTCGTCGTGGACGATTGATTGTATAAGAACTCTGTTCCAGAATTTTCCTTCTGGGGAACCTTTTCCCCCTTAGCCATTTTGATTTTCGTTTTGGCGCGGAACATTAACATTCTTTTTGACTTTGTCACTAACAACTTGCCTACTTGCTAAGATCTGGCTTTACTTTTCTGATACTCCAGTTTTTTTTAAATAAAAATATTTGTTTTCCACCAGATTCGTTTTCGTCGTTTCTCCTGGCTATCTATTTTTTTTACTTTTTTATGCAGGTGTTGAATGACCCTTTTCCTCACTAAGAGAAAAATTCACGTTAAAAGTGTGAGTTACATTTCCTTTGGTTAAAGCGCCAACGGTGACGTCGCTCCTCCTGGTCGCTCCTCCTGGGTCCAAGCGTAACCCTTTGGTCAGATGATCACCAGCCTGCCTTTCCCGACTCTTTTGGTCACTAAAGCAACTATACCGATCTCCGGTCTGTCTACCCACGCTGTGTTTAGATCTTAGACAGACGGGACCAGCAATTTCGGGGCCGATACAAGTTGAGGACAGGGGTGGCAAAACACAAATTAAAACTCCACCAAACAAAATTGCTTAAAAGGGCAACCTTTTATTTTAAAGTCCGTTTAAAAACAAAATTGTTCTCATTTCCCGACCCGCTCTGTGGACTATGGCACATTATCACATTGTTTACCTGAATCATGTTGTCACAGTTCGACACTGGGGCTAATTTCTATCGATCATTCGCAGTTGATTCTTCTCTCCGACTTGAAGTTGTATTTGGCTTCTTCTTCTGCTCTGATGGTAGTTTTCCTCCCTGTTTTCACTTGGTAGAAGATTTGAGAACTCTCTGTCGTCTGAAATCTTCTCACTTCCGGGCTGAACTTTAAAATTCGGCTTGTCTGCAGCTCAATTCTTCAGGCTTTCAGGCAATTTCCACTACAGAAGTTCTCTTGTTTTCTTTTCTCGTTCCGGGGATGAACTTTTTGTCGATTGGGGCCCTATTATTGACGCTATTTTTGTCGGCGTCAGGGTTTTCTCGATAATTCCAAAAACTTTTTCTGTCTTCTCCATTATCGCTGTTGTTTCGCCCTACTTCCTCGCAGTACCTTTGGTGGGCGGCGCACATCCATCTCTTTCTCTCGTTGTCAGGTGACCGCTTTCAACCAATCGTTCCTGATCGAGCATTTCTTTCCCTTTTCCGCAGGTCACGTGATCGTATTCGACCAATTGTTATTGATCAAACATTTCTTTCCTTTTCTTCCGCAGGTCATTCGTATTCGACCAATTTTGATCGAACATCCTCTCCCCTGTTTGCGGGCGTGGTTACATCGTTCTTGTTTAAAAAAACAAAATCCAATTTTGCCCCTTTTGCACGTACGCAAAATGACAATCTTTGGCTTTCTCTCACCTGGACTTTGTCAAACAGCCCGCTGCTAATTAGTCTTGACTTTAGAAAGGATCTTTTCCGCCTTCTTGGCGCCCTCTGTGAGCCAAAAGCAATTGTCCTCTTTTTTTACCTCTTTGTTTTTACCTGATAGTCGAAAATCTTAATTATCTACATTGAAATGTCTCTACTTTATTAACGTGGGTGTCCAATTCTTAACAGCTGTATATCGTTCCACCGGTCCTCCCCTCAACCCAAAGACACTTTTCTCTGATTAAAATTGTTTCATTGTTCCCAAAATTTCTCTTTATCCAAATTGATAAGGTGTCTTTCCATGCAAAAGTAATTAGGTTTCTGACCGATTTCTTAAAAATGACTTTAAATCGGCAAGACGCTGCCTAAAATCTCTTTCTGACTCGTTTCCACCCTCAATTGGGTCATGGACAACGTTTCTCTTTCTTTCTTTTTTTTTCTTCCTTCCTTTTTCCTTTCTTTCCTTCTTCTTTCCCTTAATCCTAGACGTGAATTATTTTCAACTCAGTTATTTTCCGTTTAAAAAAAAAAATTAACAACCTGTTTAGTAACCGAGTAAGAAAAATTAAATCATATTTCTATGAATATTTCTAATAATGCAAGGAAATCACGTTTATTATTTTATTTTTCTAGTGAATTCGGTAGTCGTGAGTAGTGTGTGGCACAAGGCCACCTTTTCGTAGGCCAGCACTGCATGCTACCGAGTTTGCTAGAAAATGTTCCACTATGGTGTGAAATTATTTGATTATTTCAAAAATGACATTAAAAGTTTGCTCTCTTTTACCGTTTAGGAGTTATGGACAACGTAAATCCGACGGCTTTGTTTACGTACGTTTGCCTCGAGTAATCCTGCGCGGAAAGTTCACTTTTCTTGATTACTGCGCAATGCTCGAAGTTTTAAATGAAAGCGCGACTCCAAATATAGCAGCAAAAAATGCAAAAATCTAAAAATAAAATCAAAATTGTGCCTAAAAGGATAAAAAATGAAGTGTTGCGGACTGGTGATTGTGTTTAAATTGATCAGAAGGAATTTCGAGGCCGTGTTCTACAACATTCGTCCTCAACAATTATTTAGAACAAATACTTGGAACAAATCATGCAAATAAAGTTAAAAACAAGACAAAAGTTGAATGCATAACAATAACATCAATTTATATACAATTTAATATACTGTGGGTTTAAGATTTGATGGATAAATGAGGATTAGTGTATTTTATTGTGTATTGTGTTATTGTGAATGTTTGGGTGCGTTTGCAGGTATTGATTAGATTTGTTCACAGAATTAAACTGTTTGTTTGATCAACGTACAAAAATGTTCGGTGTTGAGGTTGAATCGTTAGTGTATGTACGTAAGTGTGTTTATACAAATATTCAAAGTTGTTCAAAGTTGCGTACCTTTATCTGCATGAGAAAAAATAGATTGTTAGCTACTGATACTTGTTATGTAGTGAGAAAAATATCACTTTGAAAGTATAGTAAGTGAAGTTTGAGAAATGTTCTAGAGAGAGATAGTGTGCCCGAAGGTTGCTGAGTCAGAGAATATTTTTTACGCGGCAAAGTCAGAGTTTTGACTGGCGTGGAGTTGATGGGCATCTCTCTAGGTGTGGATGTCAGACTGGTGAATTGGACTGAAATTCGTCCTTTTATTTAGTTTGGGAAACCAAAGTAGGCTCCCAGTGGCCTGGCGGGAAAACAGATTTTTGACCCTGGATACACATTCTAGGGTCGTCTCGACCAATAACAAACCGAGTTTCACAATGTGTAGTGTTGATTGGTCAAAGCTAATTCTTATAGAAGAGTCTATTTTTAACGGGGGTGAGTAGACAAACATTGACGATTCTATAGAAGTTTTCCTTTTTTTTTTAACAATGTTTTGTTTTTCTTTGTGTCGTTTCTTTTTTTCAACAATGTTTTTATTTTTTTTAAAAAAAAGGCTTCAGCCATAACATTATCTTTATTATTTTAAAAAGATTTCAATTGTTTCTATAGTAAAATAAAAAAAAAAGAATTCATTATTTAATTAAGCTTCATTTCTAAAACGAAACAAAACTTGTAATTGGAAAAAAGGAATTTATACCAATTAAAAAAAAACTATCTATTTAAAGCTTCATTAAAAAAAATTGCGTAGTAATCAAGATAAGTAAGAAGATACGAAAAGCTGTAAAAAGGCCATTAACTAAGTAAGCTTCCGCGCATTACAACTCGAGGCAAATGTATGTAAACAACGCCAATAATGGCGGTCGGACAACGCGAAATATATCGATTTTACATTGTTCACAACACATAAACGGTAATCTTTTATCGTCATTTTCGAAATAATCAATCAATTTCACACCATAATGAAACATTTTCATTTACTGTGGATTTTTGGTGATTATAATACAAAGTTTAAGCCCTGCACACCTATTGTAATTAAAAAAATTCCATTTCGGTGTAAATTCACATGCTTGTAAAAGTTTGCGAAAATCTACCGTTTGGGAGTTATCCACAATAAAATTTCGGACTCATTCGCGTCGGGTCCGTCCGCCATTACTGGAGTTGATCGCATATGTTTGCCTCAAGTTGTCATGCGCGGAAGTTTACTTAGTTAACAGCCTTTTTACTCAACTTCCTATCTTCTTACTTGTCTCAATTACTACGCAAAACCAAAAGAAGTTTTTAGACACTTTGTAAAGTGAAGATTTCATTGAATTTTTTAAGTTATTTAGAAAGGCAATGACAAGTGTCGTTTTTTTGTATAGTGAAGCTCTAATAATAATGGAATAATAATCATGTTTTTTTAACCCCAAATTTAATAATAAAAAAATTTGAACCTTAAAATTGTTATTGTTATTATTAATTCCTTTCTAGCATTTTTTTTATTTTGAAAATCATGCTCTTTTTAAATTTCGCGTAAAGTTGGCGCATTGCGTGCGCAATAACCAAGATAAGTGAAACTTCCGCGCATGACTATTCGAGGCAAACGTATGTAAACAATGCCAATAATGGCTGCCGCGACGCGAATGGGGCCGAACTTTTATTGTTGATAACTCCAAAACTGTAGATTTCTGCCAACTTTTACTGTTATTTTCGAAATAAACATATAAATTTACACTGAAATGAAAATTTTAATAACAATTGGTGTGCGGGGCTTAAACTGCAAATTTACAAAAAACGACTTTATTAAACAAATTATATAAGGGTTAAAAACGCGGGATACTAAAAAAAAAAAAGAGAGAAAGAGAGGTGGGGTTAAAAAAAAGAAGACTTGATTTATTTTGAAATATTTTCATATTTTCGTGACGTTGTGCTGATCACTTACATGTGCCACACCTCCGCTTTAATGTCATTGGTTCATAAATATATGATACTTACTATATGACAATTTTGCCATCGCACATTATTTGAACTTTTCTCTAAAATCACGGATTGGTCCATTTCCTGGCCAATCGCGTATTTTAGTATCTTTCTAATATTTTTTTGGCGCCAAGCTCACTTGAGCCTATGCATACCTATATAAACTATCTCGCTGTTAGCCAACATTGGTAGCGGTCCAATTCTCTGAATATCCGGCACGGCGCTATATTATAACATTTTAATTCTTAGTTATTACTCATTCGAGTAATCTTATTAACTTCTATTAATATCACTTGTGCACATTCCATCTTTTCACACTCACAGACTGTGAAATTATTCTTCATTGAGCTAAGAACATTAATTGAACTTTATAATTAATTAACATTTAATATTGTAACTCAACATTACTTAACTACATTAAACCCTTTTTATTACAGACAAAGGGAAGTAACTTTTTCATGTTGATGTTTGTATATTGTTGTTATAATACAAATATTTATTTAATGTTCATGGAGCTTGACTTATTTCTCTCGTATATTCTGTGCATATTTCATGTGGAGTGTTGTTTATAAGAACACAGCTTTCCTTCTTGATTGCTATTACATTTCACGGTGACCCTAGCCAACATATCTTACAACACCACTACAACGTCACACACATTTCAGTACAAACCACAAAATTTGAGACTCGTACAATTTTTTTTCCCCTCGAGAATTTTTCGTAGATTATTTGATGCGTTATTTATTAGTTGAAGATTAATCTCGGGGAGGTACGGTGGAGTAATGGATAATGGCTTGGGTTGGAGAATTGAAGACTCAAGTTCCAATTTCCAATGCTAATACACTTGGGAAAGGTATAATCCTCTTCTATGAGTAAATGGCAAGACAGACTGGGTTCTATAGCCTTGGGTGGCAACCAGTCTAGGAGAAGGAAAAGCTCTGAATTCAAAACCAGCCCTGGGAGGGTTGGGCTCCGTCAGGTTATCTTACCCAAGAAACACCACTTCTACCACCGACTGCAGAACACATGGTGCACCTACGTCCTTACCGGAAAAAAAAAATATGTGAGTAAATATTGTTGTTTTTTTTTTGTTTTGTTTTTTTGAGAAATTAATTTATGCATTGTTTATTTTTAATGATAGAATGTTTTGAACTTATCAGTTTTTGTTTGTTGTTTTTTTTTTTGTTTTTTTTTTTTATTCTAATGTGTCCGAATCGAAATATAATTTAAATTAAAAAAAAAAAAAAAAAAAAAAAAACTACATCCAATAGACAGGTGACCACGGTATTTTTGATGCCAAAACAACACTGGAATTAAATGTTTTGGTAGTTTCAAAATGTTTTTGTTTTTTTTAAGTTATTGACTTTATTATAAAAAAAATCACAGTCTGAAGTTATGCAGATTAAACTTTAAAAGCCTCTTTTTTTCCATAATATATTTTAAAACATAAGTAAGGACCTCACTCTAAGAAATACTGAAAAACAGTAAATAGTAAAGTTATTTAGTGAGAGTGTGATGTGTGTTCTTAGCGCATATATCTATTGTACATTTAACGATTCAAAAAAACAAAAAACAATAAAACTCCACTTGCGGATCAACAAATAAATATATATTGAAACATAACATAGAAAACAATCATGCAATGAAGTGTAATGATTAAAGAAAAAAAGTTGTTCCCCTTCAACTGTATTCTGATTTATGGTTGAATGTTCAAAAGAATTTCTCTTGAATAAGAATGTTCAGGATTCTATGTTGAATAGAGTCTGCTGTTAGAATAGAATACAGTTAATTAAGAAATGTGTTGTTTAGAGAAATTAATAAAGTTCTGGATCATGAACTTGGCTGAGTGACAGAGAGAGAGATGTATAATGTGTTACAAAAATCTGTGTCTGTGTGTGCGTTTGAAATATTGTGAGTGAAGTCGTAGATTTGTGTGAACGGGCGAAGATAGCCGGACTCTACTGGCGGCTTGTGGGAAAATTGCTTCTTTTAAAACTACCGGTAGGCTCCCAGCGAAAACGCGGGAAAAAATTGATTTAACACTGAAATGTTTGATTGGTTAAAATTTGACCAATTACTGATTTTGTATCAAAGAAATATGTGAGCAGGTTCACGACCGAAAAATTCAAAGTGATCACTGCGATTGCTAAATTGTCTTATAGAAAAGCAGTATTGATTTACTAGCCAATCGCAGACGAATAAATTGTGGGCGTGGAAAAGCATAGCAGTCGCTACAAGAGAATGCCCACATTGGAGATATCAAAGGAGCTTCGCGGTGATCGTTAAACGATAAACAGGGCTGTCTTTAAGAACGTGTCGTCTCGGGATGAAAGTAAAAAGAATTCTAGCGAGACAACAACTTTTGACCAATGTTCAGACCATTAGACAGACTGGAATTGAAGGAGTCAAGAAGAACAAAAGTGTGTATAGTACTTCGCAAATTGTGATCTAGCAAGAAATCTCTTTGGCAAATTTCACTCAGTAAAGCAAATATTTTAAAACGTTAAACTTGAGCCAAAAAATATATCAAAATTGACTTTTCTAAATTAATTTTCATGTCTATTTTATAGCTATGTTTTTCACACCCACATACACTCCAACTCATTTTATTCGCCTGCGATTGGCTAATAAATTACTACTACCTTTGTATAGGACAATTTAGCCATCGCAGTCGTTCCTTTGAATCTTTTGGTTCTGAGCATACTTACCTAGTCTGTTTAGTACGTGTGTAGTGATTGGTTAATTTATAACCAATCACATATTTTTAATGTAAGATCAAGTTTTCCCGCGGTTTCGTGGGAGCCTACCCCTTTTCCTTAAATTGGGCGACTTTTCGCAAGTTGCCAGTAAGATTCAGTAAGATCCCAGCCGTCAACACAAATCCATGATCTTGCTCATCACACTCTAACGCACACAGAGACACAGAATTTCGTAACTACAAACTTACATTTTCTCTCTGTAACGTTCTCCAAGCACAATCAACCAGAATTTTGTTGATTCAAACCAATTTATTCACAACGCATACCAAGCAATTGTATTTCTTCATGTTATTCATTCTTCACATGCAAACTTTGCTCTAACAAGTATTTTGGAACATTTATCTCACAAGAGAACTTTCTTCAAACAGTTGATTACAATCAATCTACAGTCAAAGGGAAACAACTTTCTTCTCTTTAATCTACATTGTGAATAACAAATTATTTCATGCTTGTTGTATTTTACTCAATATATATATATTTGTTGGTCAACAAATTGAAATTGTTGTTTTTATTTCTTGAATCCTGTTCGTGGAAGAATACTTAATATAAATAGTAGTAGTACCTATATATTTGGTACCCTGCTACAATATCAGTCTACCCTTTATCTATCTCTCTATTTCAATCTGCTTATTATCTATCTATCTATCTATCTATCTATCTATTTCAGTCTGCTCATTTTCTATCTATTCCAGTCTGTTCATTATCTATCTATCTATCTATCTATCTATCTATCTATCTATCTATCTATTTCAGTCTGCTCATTTTCTATCTATTTCAGTCTGCTCATTATCTATCTATCTATCTATCTATCTATCTATCTATCTATCTATCTATTTCAGTCTGCTCATTTTCTATCTATCTATCTATCTATTTCAATCTGCTCCTTATCTATCTATCTATCTATCTATCTATCTATCTATCTATCTATCTGTCTATCTATCTATCTATCTATTTCAGTCTGCTCATTTTCTATCTATCTATCTATCTATTTCAATCTGCTCATTATCTATCTATCTATCTATCTATCTATCTATCTATCTATCTATCTATTCAGTATGTCCATATCTATCTATCTATCTATCTATCTCACGTAATCAATAACACGAATTTTCCAGATTAAATTAATTTTAGTCCATGGCTTCTGAAATCTAATAAAAATTCTTTTTTCTTTTTTTTTCTTTTTTTAAATAATATATTTTGAAAAATTGGGTAAAGGAAAGGATCTGAGAAATGCTGAAAAACAGAAAATAGCAAAGTTATTTAGTGAGAGAATCGCCACATTGGAAACATCAAAGGAGCCTCGCAGTGATGGCTGAGCGATCAACATGGCTGTTAAAAATATCAGTTGAGAACGAGAAGCAAAGGAAAATACTTCAAGAACTTGTCTCCTCTTAAACATGACACTGCTGTATTGGATGTAGGGTCATTTTTGGTGGGGGTGGGGAAGCTGCGTCTGGCAAATACGCTATTTATTTGAATTTTACAAATTCTTGCTGAAAGCCAATCCAAGGGAGGTAATTCAATGTATATTGTGCCAAAAAAAATCTTTCTGGCTGCTAAAGTGAAAGATAGCAAGTATTTTATGGTGATTTTCTAAGCATAGATCAGATGTGGCACAAGGCCAAAAGTATGGGGGCACTCAGTGAGGATTGAATTCACTTCTCGGTCGTAATTGTTCTATCGGGACAAGTTTGTTAACCATTACACCAAGTTAAAGTGCCATGCTGATTTTTTTTAAGTGTAGCTTCGATGTGGCACAAGGCCGAAAAAAGTATTTGTTACCCAGTGAGGATCGAACTCACTATTCAGACGCCTATTATTTTATGACTCTTCCAATTTAAAAATTAAAAACTTCAAACATCCCCTCAACGCAAAAATAAAAAACAAGTAATACAAAAATTCTGTTTCAGTTTATTAAAATTCTAAAATTGCCGAAAGATTTTAAAAAATAATAATGATGTCAAGAAAAAAAAAAGTCATTTGACACAACCTTTTTTGTGGGTACCTATTTAAATATTGCTGAATTTTTATATATATATATATATATATATATATATATATATATATATATATATGAAAAAATATATACGGAAAAAACAAACAAAATCCTATATGCAATTATGCTGTTTTAATGTTAATATGTCAACGTTAATTGCATATAAGGATTTTTTTGTTTTTTTTCGTATATATTTTCTTCATACTGTCAGATCGATATCCATATAATTGCTTATATATATATATATATATATATATATATATATATATATATATATATATATATATATATATATATATATAAAGAGAGAGAGAGAAAGAATTATTATTATGTTTTTTATGATAAAGTTATAATAAAAACATTTTGATATCGAAACGCAAAACTAAAAGCTTTCACGTTCCAATAAGAAATACAGTCATAATATTGAAACACACGAAAGCTTTTGTGTATCATTCAAAATGTTTTTATTATAATCTCTTATAATATAGATATATATATATATATATATATATAATTTTTCGAAAATTATTCGAAAATTAAAATATATATATATATAATTTATTCATATATAATATATATATATATATATATATATATATATATATATATATATATATATATATATATATATATAATTTATTCAGAAGTTGTAACATAAATGTGTTATAAAATCACTACAAAATTAAAGACATTTTTATGTTTAACGTTCTTTTAATAAATAAATTGTCGGACTTTGTCCATTTCTTAATATATGACGTCATTTGTTTACATTTGATACGCCAGAGCAGTTATGAATGTACGAGATTCATGGAAGATTGAAGTTTATAAGCAGTAAATTCGACCTTGCCTCCTTGCTCCTTTGTGGCTGAGTCGGTTAAGGCACTTCAGCGTAAATGACGGTTCTGTATAGGATGCAGGTTCGAATCCTGTCAAAAGACGAATATTTTCTATGAAAATTTCTCGGACATTCAGGCCGGTAAATGTTATTTAATACTGTTTATTATAAACAGAGCATTTACTTAAATACTTGTATCTATAAAAAAGAACGTTAAACATAAAAATGTCTTTAATAAATAAATTGTCGGACTTTGTCCATTTCTTAATATATATATATATATATACTATCATCACTGTCTTGCCCGTATATTATGTTGTAATTGATATCTTATGTAAGCCGAAAGCTTAGATTGTATTAAATAAAAAATATGGATCAATATTGTTAATTTCTTTCTTCGTTCAACGATAATGTTATTAAACTTATCAGACGTTACGAGAAAAATTTACATAAAATAAATAGACAACACTTGTCTATATTATTTAATAAACATGTAAACGTGTATGAATATATATATATATATATATATATATATATATATATATATACATACAGAGAGAGAGAGCTCGAATTACTGCTTTTAGAAACACACCTTCACCGGTTTTTCTCTATCATATCTGCTCTAAATCGGGAGTACTTTGTGGCACGTCGAACTTAACTTAACGACAGTTCCGTTTAGGATACAGGTTCGATTTCTGTCGGTCGACGCATATCTTCTACAAAATTTCTTAAATATTCTGGCCGGTAAATGCAATTAATAGCGTTTAATAATAAAAAAAAAAAAACAACATTTACTCAAATAAGTATATCCATAAAAAATGTATAACCAGAAAAATAGTACAATCTATATAATAAATACGAATGTCAATTTGTCACACTTTTTGAACTTTACTCATCGAATCCGTTGTCCAGCATATCATACTGTGGTAATTATCATCACCATCATACATACAAATCATGCGACAAGCATTCATTGGTTAATCTCCATCAAAACTAGCTCGTTGATTGGTCAATTTCGACCAATCAGATATCCTGCACGCAAGGAATGAAATTTCCCGCTGACTAAGGTTTGAGACAGTCACATGATACACCATCTTATATAAACAAAACACGTGTAAGCTAGCTAGCTCTCTCTCTCTCTCTCTCTCTCTCTCTCTCTCTCTCTCTCTCTCTCTCTCTTCATTCATCTTATTCCTTGCTGCCAAAATGTAATCTTCAAGAGATCCCGTCTTGACCGTGCGGTCAGACATTAAAGAAATTTACCAATTCACACAAGTACGAACCCTGAACTCTTACCAACTTTACCAATTCATTTTTCCTAACATGCAACAGGAATTTTATTCTTTTAAAAAACTTCCGTTTAATAATTACTTCATCTTTATGAGCTCCGGTACAAATATTTCCAAATCTAAGAGACATAACTCATTCAAACCTTCAGCTTATATGCATGTACATCAACACTAATAAATTAAATTGTTATGTTTTGAACTATTACGTTCTGTCTTGTATTTTATACTATGTGCTATTTTACGTCAAATATAAATTGCATTGTGACCGCTACATGTTTGGTAACCTCCAGCGTCTTTGCTTGTCCTTTTCCACGTCATTCCCGTCAAAGATAAATAATTGTGGTGATGTGCGTTACAATACCATTTTAGAATCAGGCTGACTCCAGGGGCACCTGGGATCGCCACGACAGAAGAGACTCAAAGTCCAGAACTTGGCAGGATTGGTCATGGCAACGGATTTTTTGGGAGACAAGGGCGGTATTTTTAATGACTATCTTCGAAAAGGCCAAGCCCTCACGGAAGACCATTATTGCAACTTACTTCAACAATTAAAGGCGGCATTGCAAGAAAAACGACAAGGGAAGCTGCAAAAGGGCATTTTCTTTTTGCAGGCAATGCACCTACCTACAGGGCATGTAAGACGATGAATGTTTTGAAGAATTTGGGTTTTGATTTGTTTTGTTTTACGGCATATCAAAATCAGTGGATAAATAACCCATGGAGGTTGATATGCCGTAAAACAAACCGAATCGAAACCCAAATTTTGCCGACAAAATTTTTATTGCTGATAATATTTTTTTCTTCAAAAAATGTATTGATGGTAATATTTTTTTCTTCAAAATGGTTATATTTTTCTTCAAAATACATACAGAGAGGCAATTCCGGTAGAACTAGATGCCTTACCAGGATTTATTATTGGTAGACAAAATCTTAGCAATATAAAAGACGTGATTGACACAGAAAGAATCTTGAGAATTATTCTAGCGTGACAAGCTTGCTAACCATTACATTGATAACCTTTGAGAGATTCTGTTTGGTTTGGTTTGTTTTGTTTTACGGCATATCAACACCTCAATGGGTTATTTAATGCCGACAAGATTTTTATTACTGGTAATATTTTTTTTTTAATAACTTTTTACGAAAATGTATTGCATGTATTAAAACCTATTTTTACTCTTTCATAGCGTTTTGACCCCAGTTTGGGATTAACTATTTACTCATACCTGGGACCCTAACAAGTGCTACCACCCCGGGTCAAAGTGGACCTGAGAACACCAGCAATTAAGAGGTGGTTCCACGCTCATCAAAACTTCCTGGTCAGAGGCCTTAAGTTGTAAACGTCATCAAATCGGTTTGTTTTCCTTGATTTAAATTCTTAAGCGTTTCGAACTTCTTTGTACTGTTTTACTCAAATTAAGGAATGACAAAGACGTCATGTAATAAAATGATGATGAGTGCACTCGAGTTGGAGTCAGGATCCGTCTTAGACTCAAATTATGTGAGCGACACAGATGCAGATGTGGGACTTCCATCGATGAGTTTGGTTTGCATCCTCTCTCCTGTCGTCGTAGTGCTGGCTGCTTTCCACGGCATGCAGCCATTAACGATCATCAAAAAAGGGTTTGGATGCAGCAGGGTTCCCTTCCCAAATCAGAACCCGTAGGCCTCGACCGTGGTGATGGAAAAAAAAGCCGGATGGCATTACCATTTTCTCTTTTAAAATGGGGAAGTCGTTGATTTGGGATGCGACCTGTGCGGATACATTTTTCGGTCGGTAATTTGATCAGGTCCGCGGTTGAGCCGGGGTCCGTCGCCAGGACGCAGAGATAAAAAAAAAATAGTTAAATATTCTTCTCTTGCTGAAAGATTTTTTTTTACTTCTGTGGCAGTGGAGACTTCAGGGGTTATTGACCCTCGTTCGATGGCGTTCCTTCGGAGAATTGGCGCGATTGCATCTCGATTAAGAGACGAGCCTCGCGAAACAGAGTGGCTCTTCCAGCGTGTCTCACTGGCGATGGTTCGAGGTAATGCTTTCTCCATCATTGCAGTTGGCAGAGGTTAGAAAAAATTGTTTATTGTTACGTTGTTCTGGAATTGTCATCAGAGGTCAACTGTAATTTTGTTTCAATAAATTTTAATTTGTTAAAAAAAAAAATGTTTACATAATCATGTTTAATACTTATACTCACAAATTTAAATGTTTTGAAATTTGGAAAAAATTTCATATGTAAATTACCAAAAAAAATTGAAGTCATTTCGTGAAAAAAAAAAAAACTGCATTCTTGTGTCGATCTAGCAAAATCGTTGTTGGACATTAAAAAAAAACTAAGGGAAGTAATCATAAATTTACTCACTTAAGTTGATTTACCTCCCTTGCCACTACAACTGGATTTTTTTACAGCATATCAACCTCAATGGCAAGATATTTATTGCTGGTAATCTTTTTATTGCTGGTAATCTTTTTATTGCTGGTAATATTTTTTTTTCAAAAAAGTATCACTGATAATAATGTATTACTGGTAATAATTTCTTCCTTCAAAAATTTACTGCTGGTAATATTTTTTTACAAAAATATATTGCTGGTAACAAAACCTATTTTTACACGTTTTGACCTCAGTTTGGTGGTTTAAGTATTTGCCCATAGCTGGGACCCTAACAGGTGCTACCACCCCGGGTCAGGGTGGACCTGAAAACACCAGCAATTAAGAGGTGGTTCCACGCTGCTCAAAATGTGATCTGAGGCCTCGCTGCCAGATGTAGTTTATCGTCTTTGGATGCTCCTAACGGGTGCTACCACCCCAGGTCAGGGTGAACCTGGGAACACTAGCAATCTCCTTGGTACATGTCAGAAGACGAAGTGACTTTAATAAACCTTAAAGTGCATATAAATAAAATACACACACATCAGTACACAGAAATAAATCAAATTATATGATTTTAATTTAAAATTTAACATGTTTTTAGTGTTATTTCGTTGTATGTTTTTATTCCCGTGAACATGAGACAATCCCTGCTGGTATGATGTGAGTGACTACATTGTTTTGTTTTTTTCTTAATTTCACTTCAAACAAGTCAACACACAAGACACATGTTCATTTACAAGAACATGAAAATATATGAGTCAAGTACAATGAAATATAATTACCATTTTATCAAGAAATAAATTTGAAAAGAAATCTTTTTATTAAAAAAAATTACAAAATTATCAAGATATGTAAACCGACTACAACACAATTTCTATTATATATATATATATATATATATATATATATATATATATATATATATGTGTGTGTGTGTGTATAATAGATATTGTGTTGTAGTTGGTTTACATGGTATCATGTGGATAAATGGATACCTATTATATATATATATATATATATATATATATATACATATAATTATTTATTTAAAAAAATTTATAACATAAATATGTTATAAAATCACTACAAAAAATAGTTTTGTTTCAACACCTCGGTGTCTTATCAAGTGATGATGTGGAATGTAAAATAAATGGTTTTAAAAGTTTCAATTAATTAACAATCCTTCACAAGGGAAACTTTGTTACAAAAGCTAGATGGGACCAATCAAAATACAAGTATAGGAAAATTCAAAAAGCTTGACAATGAAAGTCATGTTATAATAGCTATTCAGATGTTTAAAATATGGGTAGTATTAAAAAAGAATATATATATATATATATATATATATATATAATAGGTATCCATTTATCCACATGACAATGGTAGCGCCATGTTTGGTCCAAATTCAGTCCTTTTGTGAGCAGTGTCTGACGAGGCTTAACAATCCAATTTCAACATGTTACATGGATAAGAAATTTGAATATATATATATATATATTTCTTTCTCTCCTCTTTTTAAATCCACCCACCCTCATCACTCATCCTCATATTTACACTTTCTCTAAATTCTATTTTTTTGATTTCGGAGTTTTTTTCTGTTTTCATTTTGAATTTGTAGGTCTGATGATTTGGATCATTTGATTCAATGGAATAAATTATGACCATGGAATATTAGTGTTTAAGGGATTATATCTTTGTCTTAGACATTGAGTTCTACCTGGATCCTTCCTCTTGGAAAAAATTTTTCTGAAAAATATACATGTATTTTATTTTTTTAGATATATTTTTCATATGTGTATATTTTCAAATTTATCTATATATATATATATATATTCAAATTTCTCATCCATGTAACATATATATATATAAGCTTGATTAAAAAGAATCAAAGTCTGTCTGCTTAATGTTTTATTATATTTTTTCAATTTTCAGATAAATTTTCAGTATGCAAAAAAAAAAGAAAGGTTACCGAGACATTAGGTTTATAAGTCTCCAAAATGATTCCTGTGAACATGAAGCGATCCCTGCTGGTATGATGTGAGTGACCCCACAGGGTTCTAATTATGAAAAAAGTCCTTTGAGTACTGAATTCATATGTAATATCTAATCTCCTAGATGACATTGAATGCTAGAGAATTGAAGTGACAAAGATGTGCTTGTAGGGACATTGTTATTATTATTATTATTATTATTATTATTAATAAATAAAAATTATATTAATAAATATCATGAATAAAATAAAACAAAAAACATTAAAACTTTGTTTAAAATAAAATAAATAAAACCAAAATAATAAGAGTTCTCCCAGCATGCAATAGAAAAACTTTGAGATTCTTTGTGCCTAAAATTGTTTGCTACTGACACTCCAAGACATCCATCTCCTCTCCACCTTGCTTGTTAAAAAACAAAGTGACTTTCTTTCTTTCATATGCAAGCTTAAAAACACATATAACTAAAATGCACACACAGCAGTACACAGAAATAAAATTATACTTTTAATTTACAATTTAACATTCTTTTAGTGCTATTTCTTTTGTGCTTTTTATTCCTGCTCTTTTGA